CAATGATTTTATTGAAATTTTTGATGAATCCCCATACATTTCCTTATAACATGACACCACAGAAACCAAGCTTGGGCTACCTGTGTTTTATGTTTCAAACTGCTTTGCGTGATTTTACCCGAAAATAACCCGAARCTTACGTAACTTTGTAGTACACGTGACGAACCAAATATTTCCCGAATTTGAAGCATAAAATAAAAGGAAAGGAAAAAAACTTCTTTTCTTTCAACATATTATGACAATATAAACAGCACTCGTGCACTCACTTTTTTTTGGGGGGGGGGGAGGGTACCGTTACATGAACTGTTATGTAACAAATTGCATAACATGTGTCRGGCAACGTGACCGCCTGAAGGGCAGCCAATCAGATACACCGCTCTAATRTTTCTTCGTAGTTTCTTCGAAGATGCGAAGAAGAGGTTGTATTAATCTTAACACAGTCGAAGTTKAAGCGAAATAATGTCTGGAGCACCAAGTCCAATGTCTTCCTCGAATTATTCGAGCATTTGTAAGTATCTTTCAAACTGTTTTTCTTATTTCCCTGGTTAAATACGAACATATTTCACGCTACTACTTACTAGCCACTACGTTAACCTTCATGACAGTCGAGAAAGCTTTCATGCAATATAGAGTCTGGTCAGGTAAACTCATAATTTACTTTCAACGAATATTGTTATTACTAACAAGAACATTGTGAATTCAAAATCGAAAGAGAAAGAGAAATGCAACGATTCGTACGAAAATMAAATACTATTAAGCAAATGTGGACGTCAAACTTGAAACTTTAATGTCATTAAAATATTAATAGTAAAAAATAAAATTTTGAGTTTATTATGACACAGAATATTAAACGAAGTTGCAAAGGCCGTGAGTAAAAATAGAAACCGGTAAAAACACTTGCTTCCTGTCTTCACCTTAACCCTGTCTTACTCGTTTAGCTGTGAGATCGTGCTTTGCATCACAGGTTTTAAGAACCGCTACATATTATTGTCCTATTCCTTTCTTTYTTTCCTTTTTTTAAAGTTTTTCTCGATTTGATGCGTGTCATATTTTAAAATCTCTTGATATATTGATTCATTTAGATTTTTATTTCCTTATTTCATACACTCATTTCATTTATACATTCTTTCATTCACTTGTTTGTTTGTTTCGTTATCCAAGTACCATCCGATCACTTCTAGCTTGTTCTTATACTATTTGTTCTGTTGTATTCAAATAGTAGCATGTAGCCTGTSAACCGGCTCTCTAACCTTACCTCTCACATATGAAATATTTTTTATATTTTGTTGACTAGCTGACAGTGATACTTCAAATGACAGTGGTGTGGACTCAATGTCTGCTGGAAGTTTACCTCCAGATTACATGGATATAGATGAATTTCTGATTGCCACTGGAGTGAAGCATTTTGATTCTACAAGCCAAAATAACTTGGTTCAAAGTTTTGTTTCTCAAGGGGAAAACTTAACACAAAAAAGTAACATAAAGAAAACTGAGAAGACATTAAGCAGTACAAGAGCAAAACAAAAAAGTCAGTCAAAAGTTRATGAACATGAACATGAAAGTATAATGGCAAAAAAACCAAAAAGCCCCACCAAAAAACGACATTCTGACTATTCATACAAATATAATCCATTACCAATGGGCAAGAAAGCCAAACGCTCATTCGTATCAGATGACAATAAGGATGACAAATACTGGAAGCGACGAATTCGGAACAATGAGGCCGCAAGACGGTCTAGGGACATGAGAAGACAAAGAGAAATTGAAATATCTGAAAAATGGAAACAACTTGAAAAGGAAAATGAACGTTTGAAGAAAGAAGTTCAGAAGTTGAAAGAAAAAGCAACTGAACTTGAAAAACAGTTGCTGGAAAAACACTCATAGTTGTAGTTGCTGGCAGGAATCAATGTAAATATCACTACAATCAGTTTATAATCTTTATCATGAGAGGAAAGTTGGTTTACTAAGTGTTTCACRTGCACTGATAGGAAACAAGAAGAATTAGTAAAAGATACAATGTGTATTTGATTATGCGTAGCATGATTGGCATAATATCACATCATTTTCGTCAGATGTAATTGGTATTTTTCTTAATTCTTCAAGACCTAAGGCGGTATTTTGTTTAATAATGCATCTACAAAAAAAAAAAAAAACCAGTTTGGTTATCATTCAAACCATTTATGCAATAGTCCCTTTCACAGTTCCATGTACCATCTTCAAAGGTAGTCGTGCCTTTGCAAGAAATTGAGTCAATTAGAAACAGTAGATGTGTTATTATCGGTTCTTATTGTCTTAGAAAATTTAAAAAAGCATGTATTGTCAAWGAGATATTGCTAAAAGATTTCATGAAAATGAAGGAATTGGGTGCATAATAGACTTCCTTACAGACAGTAGAGATCAATCTTTTTTTATGTAATACAGTTCAGATAAAGTACAGATAAAAGTACAGATAAAATGTTTCTGTGAAAGATCTGTAGAATTTGAACCTATGTCTTGGTGCATGCTTTCATCCATGGTTGTTTGTATCATGTTAATTTTAAAATAGGGAAACTTCTGAGTATAAAAGTCCATATATATGAATCCTGAAAATCATTTTACAAAATAATTTAAAAGTGGTTTACTAACGACAGTTGTTATTTAAAAGTAAAAAATCAAGCAGTTATCAAACATATCACTTCYGAAAACACCCAGACATTTATTTGAGGTCCAGGTGTTTATTCAAAACCACTATAAATAGGTCAATATATACAAATAAGCAATGCAGATTATTGGCTTATTATATACAATAAAGAAAAGAAAATGCTAATCTGGCCTACAGCTGATCTATCATTTATATGTACCATACTTAGGAAAGTAGACGTCGATTAATTATTGTTTCAAGACATAAATACTTAATGTTCRTAAGTGCATACTCTAACGATTCATTTGATTGACAGAAGTGTATTGCCCATTTCCATGTTGYGACTGTTGTCTTGATCAGAGTAGCAAACATTAAGGGCTCAAAAGTACCAAAAAAAGCTTCATAAATAAATAAATGCCAGGTCCCTAATAAAACTTCATCAAAACCTCAAAATCTAAGCTATAGATCGTATAAAGGCATTTCTCAAGTATGTTTTGGGAATCAGTGTTATAAGTCACAAGAACAGAAATAAGAAAGGAATACTGGTGGGGGAAAAAATCTTAGAACAGGCTAAATTCAAAAAATAACTACACGGAGCCAAAGAAGTGAAAATTTCGAGGCTTTATGTCACGTTTCAGAGATTTTATTTAAATTTTTGACGAATCCCCATACATTTCCTTATAACATGACACCACAGAAATCAAGCTTGGGCTACCTGTGGAGCAGTGTGCGCAGAGCAGAATCATTGGTTAGCTTTAATTTATATTGTTTTCTTTTATAAACAAACACTTGTTTACTCACCATAAGATGCTTTTATTCATTCAATGTAATTAATATATAAATGCCACAATTTTAACTTTTGATTGAATAAGAATTTCTTTATTAGTACAGATCTAAATGATAAAAGACTGAAATAAAAAAGGWACTGGTATTTATCATATGACCAGTATATGCCCGGGCACACGGTCTTAGAAAAACCTTCGGGAAAATGGCATGAGCAGGGCCRTACCGCTTTGAGCGAGGAGGGCCGTACGAATCAGTACGTCCCTGCTCGAATCCTGCGACCATATTGACATATTTTGCAACTTTTAAAATATCTATAAATATTTTTATTTAGGGTCATGATGAAATGCTTATTGACTGAGTTAGGTCGGGCCGTACTGGAAAATAATTGGCTCTCAGTCATTCATACGGCATCACCTCGAGCCAAATATTTTCCCTTACAGCCCTCCCCCTCAGTCAATAAGTACATAGTATTATTCGTCAGGTTGCTTTTGCTTGTACAAAAGATTTCATTAAACAACATAAAATATTATTGATTTGAACCACACYTCAGTACTGAGGAATGTGAGCGTATGCCCTGAGCCTGCTCACAGGCTATAAGGTATGCAGTCTGTACAATTTAAATACTAGGGGCCTTTACTGTGCGGACATACTAACTGGTAACACTTGAATAAAACTGACCAATCAGATAACAGTAAACTAGACAGTGGTCCTGGTTAGAGTATCTCCACAGTAAAAAGCATTGTGTCTGCTTTTGTTAATCACACCTATATTATTCAATACTGCATGTTAACTAGTATTATTAAAATAGTAAATATAGTTGTGTCCAAACAAGTAGCATTAAATCAGTTTATGTCATGTATTTTACGAATGCTCTAGTTTGTTGAAATGTCTCTTCAACTAAACAGAATTAGCACTGCACATGAAAATATTGTGCGATTTTATATACTTTCATTGGTCAATAATATGATTCATGGATAGTTTGTAAGTGGGGTCAAGGAAGGTATGCTATCAACACTTGGGTGTAATATTAATATTTTCTATCATATACATATATATYTTACTAAATTGTCATATGTCCTGTACCAGGTGTAGCCACCAGGGTATCAGATAAAAACACTCCTAAAATCATTCTATTTGTGTTGGCTGACGTTTCCTGAAAAGAAAAGAAAAAAAGACAAAAGTAATTACTGTAGAAGTCAATGAAAGTCAATAACATGGAAGCACAGGTGCTGTGTATGTAGAGGTGTGAGGACTCGTCTCTCACCAATATCTGGATTCAAGTACCAGACTCTGCGTCCTATTTTTAGCAGAGTTTCTAGTTGGTTCTCTCCTGTGCTTTGATGATTTCTAAATTCCAGTCTATCATGAAACGAGGACCAAAGGTTTGTTTCAGCTAACAGGTATTAATTAAAAGGYCCTGTTACACAAGGCAGTATTGACCTATAACATTATGACGTCACAGCTTGTTTACATGGGCAAGAATGATAGGAATTTAGGTGAAATTTTCTTTCGTTCAGGATATTTAGTACAACATTTATCTGTTATCACCTTTCCCCGTCTAATTAACCATTTTTTGTGATTTAATTCGTTTTGCTGCTATTTTGCCCCCTCTGGCGACCATGATCCTTAGCGTTAAAACAATAGATTGTTTTTGATGTGATGTCATAGTGTTATAGGCCAATTTTTTGTTGCAGTTTGCAATGCAATGCTGACAAAAGCAGAGCATTGTAAGTTGCAGATGAGATGTCACACACACACAACACTTCACAACTTGCAAYGCAACACTTTCTTGGTCTGCGATACTATGGAAATGACTAGAGTGTTAAAACATGCATTRGAATGTGCATCTCTCAGTGGTAGATTTATGTGTCAAATGATGAGATTTTTGTGTACTACGTGAGGATGAAACTGACTTGAGTGAGTGGCTGTAGCGCTTGTTCCAGTCATAAAAAGAAATACMGGTCTTATAAAAAATCTTCAGTTTGAACAGATTAACTTAGTGCATGTAGTCCAGATAATCATGGCAATAGTTTAAGTTTGCATTAGTGAATTTATCTTTAGCGTTTCTGCTTGATCATCCGCTTTGAAGCCCATTTTGTCTATCAAATGCTACTACAATCGCATGCTCTCAAACATGATCCTGTGGTACACAAAAATCTATCACCGCGAGACRTGCATTCCAACCGTCGTTATACCACTCTAATGATTCCTATAGTAGCGGATRTGGAAGAGCTGCACTCTCATCTTGGTCATTTGAGACAGTGAAATTGCATTGCAGGTTGCAGGATAGATGTTAGACTTGCTTCGAAACATTGTGAAAAGTAGAAACTTGTTCAATTTTTTCTGCAAATTGCAATGTTCATCACAAGTTGTAGAGAGGGGTTGTTACATGTGCGATCTCTTCAACTTGCAATGCAAAATGTAATGGGGCCTTAAGTACTACCCTCGTAAAACAAAGACAATTTAATTATAATGTGTTTATGAATACATAAATAATAAAAAATGAAAAAACTTTGTGATCAAAACTTACCATGYGCAATAACTGTCAGAGGTCTGTTTTCTTTCTTCGTATGTGAAAATGCTTCTGCAGGGTTAAATCTCTTCTTGCCAACTGTGTTGTCCATCTTTTCCTCTAGTCTCTTTAGACTTCTCTTTTGCTTTTCACATTGTTCTCGCAATTTGGAATTTTCCTTTAAAGAAAAATGTGYTCACTTCTAGTTTGGTAAGAGTACCACTGAGTCTTTTCCCTCCAAATTCATTTTTTTGAATTAAAATTGCCTATTTTTCCTTTTTGAATTCGCAGAGACTGTGTGGGGTTGAGTTTTAATTGGCACGCAGGAAGAGAAAAAACCTTTCTCTGTCAAAGCTCGRACATTCCTGCTTCTTTTCTCCCCTAAAAATACATTTTGTCACTTGAAGTCATTGGGATACTTACAGATTTCAGATCAATGTTTTCTTGTTTAAGCTTTAGCACATGGTGTATTTTCTGTTTTTGATTCTGATGTCCCAGTAGTTTGGCATACTGGGTACTGAGCTTAGATACCTATAAACGGCAGTTACGACAATCAACAATTGTGTAAGTATACTTCTTGATTAAAAAACTATACATAATTATATTGATAATGCAAATTAAATGGCCAGAAGCTAAATAATCTATGAAATCATGGCTTGCTGAATGTTGTAATGAAGTAGTAATGTATGATGATGAAAAGAGTCATACTAAAACATATAGAAAGAATTAAAAGCAGTCATCAGTAATTGGAAGGAAAAAAAAGGAAGATTTAATTGTCTCGTACCTCATTTTGAGCTTCACAGTTTTGACTCAGAAGTGCATTCTTTTCTGCCTCAAAGGCATCAAGCTGTTCCTGTGACAAAATCAAAATAACCCAAATGAAAACTTTATTTTTGTCATCAATGTCAGTTGATAATGGTTCACCATTCCCTAGATAGTGGTAATCCATCTTTTTTGTAATGAATGATTMATATAGTATTTGGTAATCACAAATGAAAATGGTTTATTTATTACAAATTTAAACTGAGCATTTGTCATGTACCCTAAATGGCTCAATCTTTTCTTCAAGTTCTTCATATCTATTTTGCCACCTGTTAAAATGAATAATAATAATAATTTTCTGAGATACTGAAGTAAATGTTTCAAGGGCAGAACCAGGGAGGGGTGGGGGTGGGCTGTGTGGATTGGATGACTAGMCAGCCCCCTCTTGAGGAGTTGACATATACTTACATTTCAATTTGCTGTTTAARGTCTTCTATTTGTGAATCACTGTTATGTCTGAATCAGATAAAACATTTCACAATTGATGAATTTCTTAAAGCTACTCGATATAACAGTTTTAATAACCAATTAAATACCTGTTAAGCTTTTCCCTTAGGTTTTCTATTTCATCTTGGCTATTCTGTAGTAATCTTTTGAAAAATAAAAAAAATAATTATCAGAATTCAAGGAAATTTTGATAAACTCAATATTATGAAAAACCAACCTTTTATGCGTAGTTTCCAAATTTTCTTTTTCTTGTGCATGGTCCTGATCAAGTCTAGTGCGTAAACAACATATTGTATRAGGCTCAAGCCTGCCTATAACACAGTAATGGTGGAAGTGGGCTTCCTGTGCTGTATAAAGTCAGGAAGCCCAAGTGAAAATTACCTCAGAATCTGGTCTTCGAGTTTTTTCAGAGCCTTACTGTTCTCCTCTTTTAACCTTTGGAAAAAACAATTCGGAATATTATAGTTGGTGAAAGTAAAAGTCGTAAGAGGTTTAGAATAATTACCTGGTTTGGTTGATTTCATTTTGAGAAAGTTTCTTTTGAGTTTCCACTAGACGCCTGSACATCATACGTAACAATGGTGAGTATTCACTAGATATTAAATTAATATATTTTGCTTATAAATAATCAAGATATAATTTAAGGACTCTCCGTTATTTATGCCTGGGGAAAGCGGTGTTCAGAGGGGGAAAGGGGAATTTTTTAACAGTACTCMAAAAGGGGGATGAGTAAAATTTAAGGAGTATTCTAAAGTATTTGAGGTAAAATGTTCATTAGATTCTCCTCTCACTTCATTCTCCTATAGGACGTTTGCATGATGGCGTCATTTGACTCCCACTACMATAATGCCTCGTGAATTTTTTTTCTTATTCAAGACAATGGGTGCTAATTAACTGAACAAAAGAAAGTGTGCAAGGGAGTCTGGTAGTAGAGGTCAATGACGCCATYGTGCAAATGTCCTAATGAAATACTTATAGCGGGTGTAAAACTGTAGTATCTTTTAGGTGGGGGGATAGGGGTGTTAAATTTGTAAGATGCTTTTTGAGTGATTTCTGAACACCACCCTATCCCTTAGACATAACTAATGAACAGTCCCTAATARCTGTTTAATATTGGATCAGATAATAATTTGAAAGAGGAATAAAAAGTTGTCTTAGTTACAAACCTCCCAAATTCCTCCTTGATTTTCACTGCTCTTTCTTCAGCTTCATTGTCTTTTCTGTTCAAATGTATAAAACAATTTCATGAAAATGCACAATACGCTTGTGTGTTAATGATGATGATGATCACAAATCATATATTTGATTCATAAGATCAGTGTAAGAAATTACACAGTTTACCAACAGACCATTCTCCTAGGGCTAGAACTATCCAGATGAATCTTCTCTCTCTTCCCCCCCCCCCCCCCCCCCCAAAAAAAAAGTTTCCACACTTAATGTGTTTCTTGGATGACCAGTTTTGCAAAAAATTTCAGGAGCAAATATACACATTTTTATTTTCCTTATTATTATTGCTTATCTCCAACATACTCCCTAGAATATTGTTTGTTATCTACTAGTTTCAATCCATCATGTGACAAATTCTATAGCAATGCCACAATAATAGGCCCTTTGCAGTTAACGGTCACGTGTCTGTACTAGACTGCAAAATTTTTGTTTTTATATTAAATTGGTGATTCTTTTTAGCTACTTGTAAAGAACTGAATAAAAACATGTGTACCCAGTGTTTCACGAAATGCAGTTTTATTACGATCTCTCAAAACAGGTTGTACAAAGTTTGTTTGCAGTCCAGTAAATTTCACCCATGGGAATCAAAATGTTCATTCATTTGCTCTCAGTGAATTAATCAGCACGTGATTGCTTAGCTGCAAAGGGCCTATTTGCAAGCCATTGCTTGGCATCCAGTGTTTTGATAGCGTTTGTGTGACAAGGTCAAGTTTAAGTAATCTTTTGTATTGCGTAAAGCTCTTTTTATTTCAATTTTAAGTAGCACCTCCAGGGTTTCCATTTGATTTGAATGTTTATCTATAGTCACAGGTTTTCCTCAAGTAGCTCTTACAGGAAGATAATATTGGCTCATTCTTACTGACTTGGATAATTTATTTTATGGATGCAATTCAAATATCGTGATTAGAATTGAGATGAGGTTACTTTGTTGGGTATATAGAAATTTAGGAGATAGCTGCTATCAATAGATTTAAATGGCGCGTAGAATCTTGGAGGTTGTTTTGATCTCTTGTTTTCTGGTTTCACGTCATAGAAATAGTCAAATACAATAGCTTGATAACTTATTTTGACATGTTTTGACTTAACATTCACTAGTTGCCCCTCAGGCAACTGCTTGTTTGYCCCCCAGTCAACTCCAATAAGTCACATGATTTATAGTAAGCAATTCAAGGATTTTATCACTACATAACATACTATAAACCCACGTGTACTTACTGTTCTAATGCTGCTTGCATGTCTTGCATTTCTTTTTTCAAGTTCCTGCRTTCTTGTTGATATCTAAATAAAAAAGGTTTTAGATTACAACTGTTTATCCTTTTTAATTTTAATGCAATTGAGTTAAAAACTTATGGCCACTGCAGAGGAGGCTAGTGTTCATCTGCTCAGACTCAAAACTTACCTTCCAATCTCATGCTGAACTTCAGCTAACTCAGCTACCAYTTTATCATTTTCATTCTTTAAACTAATCATTTTGTAAAAAAGAAAYGAAAAAGATTTAGGGTTTTGAAAATTTATCACAAAAAAATGAAATATTTACTATGAGAATGATAAGGGGATATGTCAGATATAAACATATATTATTACTCATCCTAGATTTCCATATCTGTATATAGAAAAGATCATAATSATGATAATAAAGATGGTGCCCTTCATCACCTTTCATTCTCCATAAGCACACCAGACAACTTTTCATTTTGGGTTTTCTCAATGCTGAAATAAARAAGAAGAAAAAATCCAGTGAATATCTTTATCCATGTAGCAATACTGTGGTGAATAGTTCAGTGAAATTAAGAAAAAAGAGGAATAAATGGAAGTATGTTGTTCATACAGAGATGGCAGAGCATATTTTGAAGTTGGGGGATGGGGGTCAGGGGGCCAGGTGGAGAGGAGAGCAAAGAAATTTCTCCTTAGTTTTAGTTATTCAGCTTTATAGGCTAACTAAATGATCTACATTTTATGATATTCCTTGTTAAATAGTAAATATATGTTGTTTACCTTGTTAAGATGTCAAGGTTTTGGAGTTGCAGCTTTTGTTCTGATTCCAAGTTGTCAATAATCTCTTGTTTCTGTTTGRAAATGATAAAAAATTAATAAGCATTCTAAACATGGGTGGCGTGCGCTGCTAATGCGCCGCCTCTCACCAATGTGACCAGAGTTTGAGCCCTGCCGTGCTCGGTTTTGTATGTGAATAGAGTTGTTTGTTGGTTCTCTCCTGTGCTTCAAGGGTTTTCCAGGTTCTCTGGTTTTCCTCCCTCCTCAAAAATCAACTACTAAATTCCAATTCGATCTTGGGCTTTCACCCCCCATGGATCTGATGGTTCCGTTCGTGATTGTCCCACTCTGTGATTACAGACAAAACTAAACAAAAAATAAAAAAAACTAGTGCTTATAGTTCCCTATGAGGGCCACTGGGTTTAAAAAAAATTATAACCGTCATCTGTTACCCTCTAGAAATAAAGTTCATTCATTCATTCATTGAGGTTCAAACATTCAATATATTATTCAAAGATTGATTTCCACCTTGCTTTGAAACTTGAATATTGTCATCGGATTAATAGTTTATTTACTTCTTCATAGATACATGCAAGGCCAAAATTATTTCTACAGTTGTAGCTACCATTTAAAACTGATCTGTGTGGTGTGGAGTTTTGTTCACAAATGAAMATTTTTGATGTTTTGAACTAAAGGCTGGGATTGGAATTTACAAYGTTCATTTCATTAATGCAAGTTTCAAAGCAAKATCAAACTTCAAATAATAAAATGAATCTTTGAACAATGATAGAAACGCATGCGCTGGTTTGACTGTAAAATAATAGCCAGTCATTGGATAATGTCTGGACAGAATTGAAACTTGTCTGGTCAAATCTTTGCCTTGTCAGTCATTATCCTTTTGACCAGTAACATTGAGCCAGAAAGAAGGTATGACTGAGCTATACCTAATGGCCTTTTATCATGACAGGTTACTGACTGGCTATTATTTTAAGCCCTCTAAACAGTGTCAATAGTTAATAAACAAGCATGTTATTAAAACAATCTAATCATATAATTACTTTATTGAGTTGGTCCTCTAGAGTTATCTTTGTTTCTTGTGCTGCTTCTTGTATTTCACTGAGCTCTTTTCCCAAAAAACTTGCTCTAGACTATAGGTGTGATGGAGATTAACACCATGAACATTCATTTAACATCTTATAGTATCTCTCATGACAGTATTAAATCTATTCCCTCACTTTGGGGAGACATTAATTTACTGTATGAATACAGTTATTGCTTAGTGTATCTGTTACTGACAGTTCAACCTATTAACTGAAACTTASTTAGATACTAGGAAATTTTAATTCTTCTGATACTTCCATTTCTTTATAAAAATCAGTATGTACCAGTATGCACAAAATTAGATACTACTACTGTAAGTACCTGAGTTGAAAACAACTGTTCAACTAAATCCTGAGCAATGACTTGTAGGTAACTGTTGCTCCCTTGTTCTTCAGCCATTTGGTTTTTGAGTGCWTCAAAGGTAGATATCAATTCATCATGATCTTTATTGCTGAATAGACAACCAAAACAAATATTATTTATCATATTTTTTTATTTATGCGACCCCCTATCCCGACAACTTGTTGTTTTCCCCTTTTTTTAAYATAATATGATATATACATGATGGCATTGACATTAATGTTGACAAAATATGAAATATTTGTCATAAAAAAAAGGAGTTTTTTATTTATTTTTTTATTTAGAGGCTTTCATCACGYTTGACTTAATAAAAAACAATAAATATAAAAGCTCACAAGCCTGATCTTGGGCAGGCTAATGGACTCGAGGTCCAAGTGAGGTGCGCCCCACACACACACTTAAACACTTACAGTAATACATTAAGGAGCTCATAGCTAACAGCAGTAGCAGTCCAGTCTTAATGTGTCAAATTCAGTGTCAAGTTAAAGAAAATAGATGTTGTACAGTTTCTCTTTGAAAACAGCAAAGGATGAAGATTGCTTGATAGTTATAGCTAGGTTATAGCAATGTTGTAGTTCAACAACTGTCTTTAATACCAGTAGAAACACAAGTGTATGTGTTAAGACTGGYATAGTGTATGTATGATGTCAAAAATGATGTCACTCAAAAACATCCTGGAATTTGTCCCTTGAATTTGTGTGGTCAAATATTTTCCCTGCCAGTCATTTTAACCAGTAATGGTCTTGATATATTACCTGTTGCTCAGGGATACTTTAGTGGCCTCAAGTGTTGCTTGCAATATTTGAATCTCTTTTTGGGCAGTTGCCTTTTCCTGGTCTGAAAGARATAATATATTTTATGTTTTCTTTGTTCAAATTCTTCAAATAATTTTTTTGGACTGTCATATTTCAGATCAGGGACAAGGGTTGACCTGACATGCAGGGTTGACCTACTACAGGTATGTGCCTGCATTTATTCCGTCAGGTGAAACCAATGAAACAGTATGGCATGCTACAGACTGTTCTTTCTACCAGCTGGATTTACTTTTCAGTTATACTGTTATTTCTGACCCTGTACTATTTAAAAAGAATTTCCCTATTTCTACTACTTTGAAAATGTGTGACAGAATTTGACTGGCAATAAATCGATGATAAAAGGGGTAATAGAGGGGGTAGGGGTAATAAAAAATTATTTTGGTAAGACTTTTTTTGTAATGGTATAAACAAMATATTTGACAAACAGTTTTGTTAGTCTATGTGGAGTTAAAGCCTGGATTTTAATGAATACTTTTTGATATCCATACCATACATTTCCTCTAGAGCAGTGTATTTTGCAGTCAGTGACTTAAAATTATCCACCATTAGTTCTTGATTGCTGAAACGAGTCATGAAATAATATTATAGACGTACAGTAGCAGGACAAACATCATTCATGATCAAATAAATTGGTTTATAATACTGATAAGTGAATTCCCGTTATCTTGGACGTTTGGACACATCCAACCTATAAACTTGTGTTAGTTAAAATTCTGATTTGTTGTCAACACTTCCACCTTCAATATGGTGCCATAAAATTTAATACAATCATGCCCTATCAATCATTCAAATGACATTTCTATTGGTTTACAGTGGTTGACAGTTCAAAACTGTACAACTTATTTCCTGGACCATGAGGTTTCTGAAGGTTTTGCTAGAAGCATTAATGTCATATATCATTCCTGGCTTATTTGGAATCATTATTTTTTCAAATACCTCTGGATTTCTTCTTGTAACTTTTYAACTTGAGATGCAGAWAGTTGTAATTTTTGTYCATAATCCTGATGACATTGTTTGAGCTGACTTTCAAGTGACTGGTTTTCTGCCTTGAGACACCTGTCAGAGATTGAACATCAAATAAATTACTATAATTTTGTCTTTCATACAAGTCCTGAGTATCGTAAATTTGGGTCCACTTCATGGTTTGTAGTTGACTTGCAGATGGCTCCTGAATTTAGCTTGTTTGGTGTATTGTCCTCTTCCTTGTATTGCCACAGACCTCCCTCCATAAAATTTTTTTTGGTTATATCTGGTATGTCTGGTTATGTCTGGTATATCTGTTTGTCTATACAAATTAATTGGGGGAGCAGTGGCCATTGCTTGCTGCAAATGCACCACCTCTAATGCCATACTGGTMACAGGTACAAGTCATGAGCCTCTAAAAAAAGTTTTATTCTTTCATTAACTTACTCTATGTCTTCATTTGCTTGTTGCTCTTGTTCAGTAACCTGTACAAGTCTTTTTTCCAAGTCATGTATCTTACTTTCATAGCCCACATTCTTATTGTGAAGATCTTCAACAGTTTTCATGGCACTTGAAAAATTTTCTTCACTTCTTTTGAAGCATTCTTCATACTTTTGTTCTTGTACTTTTGCTTTCTAATAAAAATCCAATGGTTTAGCATGGTATGTCTTCGTAACAATTATATGATATGTATGATTTCAACAGTTTGTCAAAATGTTATATACTCAGGATCTTTCGAAGCGCTTATGACTTGGGTGTAYATTTGGTTGGGCAGCGGTCGGGAGACTTATATTCAGGGGGTGGAGAGTGTGGCTTATAACTGGAAGGATATTTGCTTTAACAGACTATAACTTATAACAGCTTATAACAGAGGGGCCGGAATTCAACTCCYGCAATTTAACGATATGCTGTGAAACTGTCTGATGGTCTGAAAAATGTCATMCTTCCATCACAAACTGTAGAAAGTGTATTGTGTCATACATAGCTTTTTYCCCCACTGCCCTGCATATGAAATCTATGCAGTATGGTGGTTCTCTTACCATAATCTCCTCTTCCACAGCTGCTTGCARATTTTGAATTTTTTCATCCCCTTCCTTCTCAGTTTTTGTAAGCTTTTTAGTTGTATCCTTAATTAATTAAATAATAATTAATAAATATTATATTAATATATAAGTCAATAGAACGTAAAGTTGCCCCGATTTAAATGGATTTTTAGCCAATTGCAAGGGCAAATCCAGCCAAAATTTTAGGGGGGGGGGCTAATTGAGTTTAGGGGGGAGCTAATTGAGTTTCTTCCGTCAACACAATGGAAAACAATTAAAAAAAGCATCTAATTCTTCAGTTTCATTTTTTTTTTCCTGCTGAAGGGGGCCCCCCCTTTGCCCCCCTGGATCTGCCCTTGATTTGTGGACTGGCATTTGTTAGACACRTAAACATYCCTGGCTAATAAGTTTAAAAGAAAATATAAAACTAAGATAAATATTTATTAAGTAAATGATAATTAAATTTCAAACCTTTAGATCTTGCTCCACAATGTCCAACTTTTTTATAATTTCCAAATTTTCTTTCCTTAGTTCATCTGCAAAACCTAGAGTATTTTGAAATCAGTATATCAGAATTCTGAATTCAGTGAGATTATATAAGAACAGGTGGCATAGCTGCAAGAGTGTTCACCTGTCACCAACGTGACCTGGGTTCAATTCCCATTGGGTTTGGTGTCATATTTGAGTTACAAGTTCAGGCCCATGTGATAGAAAAGAGCATTGTGTTTAACTATAGTGTTACAGTAATAGAAAATATAAAAGACAATATAAATTATATATCTTGTATATACATGAGGACAAGTTGTATTTCAATTTTGCTTTGATGTAAAAAGAGGTATGTTACAAGCCTTCCTTTCCCTCCTCCACCCATTCCCCCTCATCCCCTTTCCCACATCCTCCCATTCCCACTCATCCCCTTTCCCACATCCCCCAATTCCCATCCATCCCCTTCCCCACAGCATTCCCACTCATCCCCCTTCCCACATCCCCCCATTCCCACTCATCCCCTTTCTCACATCCTCCCATTCCCACTCATCCCCTTTCCCACATCCCCCCATTCCCACTCCTCTCCTTTCCCACATATCCCCCTATTCCCCATTCCTTTTAGGCCACTACACAGGCTAATATGTGCTGGCTCCCCCGCTAATTTCTGACAAGTCCCTAGGGTTCTGAAACAAATAAATCAGATTATATTTTTCCAGTCTAGTATCCTAAGAATCATGCATTATTATTGGCTTTGCAAGCCAGGTGATGTGATTGTGGTCCAGTATCCTGGAATAAAGAATTCATGAGCAACAAAAACAATTGCAAAACGAAATAAAAATTAAATGGTTATTTACCATTCTAAAGTCGGTCTGGATAGGGAAAAACTTTGCCCTTGGCCTTGAACATGGACCTCTGCCTAATAGCTTTGGCCTACAGGTACAGTTTTTTCCTATCTTCACCTCCTGGCTGGTAAATAACCAGGCTCTATTTCTTTTGTTACCTTGAAGCTTTTTGTTTTCATCTTCTACTTGTTCTCTGTCGCAAGACATTTCCTGATTGRATTTTTCTGTAAGGCAATGTAAATGCATTATATATTGATCTTTTGGTACATAGGTTAAAGGGTTAAAGAATACAATCTTTATGACATCGTATGTTAACTTGCCAATACACCTTTACTATGTATTTTTGCATGAAATATAAGATTCTTTGATCATTGCATTTTTCAAGTATTGATGATAATTAACCAGCAAACAAAATACTCAAGTCAAGGAGATGAGATACAATCTTGAATGAAAAGACAATGGATAGTACTAGGAGGAGTGGTARCAGTGCCTTTTGTATACTCTTGTATACCACTGACAAAAAATTAATTACTTAATTACCAATTACCTAATGCTGTGATTCTTGTTTTTAATGCCATATTTCTTGTTTTTTCCAGGTCAATATCTGCCTTATAGTTTTCTTGTTCACATCTGAATATCATCTGCAGGTTGGCTAGTTCTTTTTCCTTGCTGGCTAATAGTACAGTTAGGTCTATGTTTGGATTATCATCAGTTCCTATAGCTATATCTATCTTTTCTTCAGAAGGAGAACCAGAACACTAGAATATTCATTAAAAAAACGAAATTTTAGTCAGTTGTTATATACCATACCAAGAGAGCATAAATAAGAAAGGGAAACTTGTGCGCCAYGTAAATTCCTGGTTGGGCTATTTTGACTAACCGGATGSMRKTTWAAWTTTGCCTTACCCTACTCCCRTGCCTCATCAACATGCTCAAAAGACTTTCTGTTTCATCTTTARTGATCAAAACAATAGATGGAAAAAGCCTCTCTTATTTCTGCTCTCTTAACCATACAAAAGTTTTTTAGGCAACCACGGTTGATTTGCAGTTAATTTTGCAGAGAGAACATGGTTCATTAATTACCTTTTTACTGTGTGAACTGAATGTGCAACAGAAGCATTGTATGCTTCAATCTTTTCAGGGGGTACTTTATATTGATCTAAGGAAGTCTATAAATTTAGATTTTGATTAGGATTTATTTATATTCTGTTACCTGAAAGTCTGCATTTAATAAAAAGTCATCATCGGTAGAAACCAGTTTGTCTTCTTTGATTACAGCATTATCTTCTAAGCTTATCTAGATAAGTATAAGATTTGAAATATAAGATTTGAAATTATAAGATAATTGAGACATAATCAGTTAATGATTGGTTTATGTATAGTATGTAAGAAGAAGAAGGTTTGTGAGCTACCTTAACTTGGAGTGCTTGATTCTGTTCTCTTAACAGACACAGTTCTTGTTTCAAACTKTCAATAGTTCTTTCCAGGGCTTGAAGCTTTGCCTGTAAACCAGTTTAAAAGAATCTAGTCAAACTATTTATTTACTCTAAGGCCTAGAGCAAACGTCCAACTTTCCATGCACCAAACTTAATTTTTTTTTTTTTTCATAATGCAAAATAAGAAGTACTTCCTAGAATTTATATATATATATATACATTTTTTTTTTTTCAGTTTTACTATAATAGGGGAAGGTTGTCAATTGGGATGCAAGTCCTGTATCCTCCTCCTGTCACGTTTTATCATAATAACCTACTTCTTTTTTTCTTCTTTTTCTCCCCTTTTTATCTCTACATAACTATGTTTAGTTCACTTCATTTATTAAATAACATATTGTACCTCAGGTTGTAAATAGTGAYGAATAGACTAAACTAAACTAATTACATCAAAAAATGCCGCCTCATTATCACCTGATATCCATCGTTTTTAATGAGTTHGGTGCATGGAAAGTTTGACGTTTGCCCTAGGCCTAAATTAAGTCTCTAGTAAGGATTCTTGAATACATAATCTTTAAGAACATATTTATAACCTCAGGAWGACTCTATGCCTTTATTGTCTTCATTCATCAATACAGTAGTTGGACAATCATTCTTGTTCCCAGAACTCCTTGGTTTCGTTCCTCCCCAGTTCCTCCTCAGGRAAGAATTGAAACAGAGGAGTTCTTGGTATGAGAATGCCAGACAATATTATAATAGTCAAGTAGTGTGCACAATTCTTATTTCCAGGGCTTGAAAAACAAACCATTGGATTTTGACCAAGGTCACCAAGTATTTTTAATCTAGAGTCAAATAACTGCAATATCTTACTTTGTCTTGAGTTTTTGGTAGGGGAGTACTCATTAAGTGTATGCCACTTGTCTTGCTTGAAATACTGCAAGTGCTTACATCTAAAATCATAATATTTTCGAATGTTAAGCTTATGCCATAAGTCATGAATCACRCCAGATTCCTTTGTACACAACTTAAGCCTCACATCAGTGYGGGTTTTGAATTTGGTCTATGAAATACCTACCCAAGTATGAGCTAACAGTAGGATCACAAGGTCCTGGTTGGTTTTCTAAAGGGAACAAAGTTGATATGATATSATATATATATTGATTAAGAATAAAATAGTTTGGAAATTAGATAATGTACAATTATTGGATGAGAATGAACATGATATAGTAAATTATCAAGACCAAGGCCATTTTATTATCTGCGAAATGATAACTTACAATATCTTGTGAAAACCAAATTCAATAACTTTTTTATTGGAGAGAATAAGAGAAAAATATCAAATGCCCTTGGTGGGAATCGAACCCACATCTTCGATATTCTAGTCTGATGTGTTAACCACTACACTACAAGGACCAACCACGCTGGTAACACAGCTGGAATATGAAATGTAGGGTACTCGTGAGGATCCCAGAGCGATATTTATTATTATACATTTTGTAAACTAAGAATAAAGATTTCATTCTGCTTTTAAAGAAATAGCAAAGTTATTTCAATCTCCATTGTGACGTTGAATGAACTTGACCTGATAAATGCAATAACTGCAGAAAAACCTAAAAATGATATATCTATTATGTCGATCACATAATACCATGGATTGGCTGAGGGCTCTCTACCAATGAAAAAGTGAGATAGTGAGTAAAATGTCTAATAATGACAATAATTGGAAGTAATTAGTAAATATTATTACAAACCTTTGGATTCTCCAAACCTCTTGGATTTAGTAAAGAGTGCTGCCCCACTTTTTTTGTTGGAATTTTCAATGTTATACTTTCCCACTGGTGGAGCACAACTTACTATATATAAGAAGGATGAATAAATAAATGATTGAATTAATAATACTATAATTAAACAATAATTTAAACTTTATTTCACAAGGGAAAGTAGGTAATTACTTTATAATTACTGTAATTTATTGTAACCCTAAGAATGATCTTATACATAACCCTCAATAAAAGCTACAACAATAAAATAAATTATTTTACTACACAGTTTGATTTATTATTGTAGTTATATATTTGTTATTTATGGCCAGGGGGAGGGGTACTGGTGTTCAGAGAGGGGAGTATTATACCAAAAAATGGGGGGYACACTGCACTGCACCACACCATACATCCAACACAAAGTCTGGAAGSGTATTTGCAGGAGCTGGGAAGCAGATAAAATGTAGCATTGGATCTGGGAAACTAGAAATTTTTTTACGTGATTTGGGATATTGGCATTGGCTGTAACTGGGAATTGCCAAATTCAAAATCTGGGATGTGGGATTTTGCTTTTTGACTTTCCAGAAAAACATGRAAACAATAATAAATGAAATAAAAATTCAAACGCCTTTGAATAGGTTGAATGTGGGCAAAATGATGGGGTCGTGGGATCTTTGGAAAAAATAGCRCATGATTCTACCATGCGAACAGAGGTTTTTTCCTGACCCTCTGTGGGCTGGCTGGTCGGGGAGAAAAAATATTCTCCCTGGCCAGCCAGCCTACGGAGGGTCAGAAAAGGGTAACATGATTCGGAATCTGGACCCACCTTCTAGACCCTTCATCACACCCTTCCAGCTGGTACAGAGGAAAGATAAATTATACATTTACGAGTAAAACAGGACGTCTTTCTCACTGTGAATTTGTCAGAAAATCCGACTGAAAAGTCCTAAAACCAGATAAGCTCATGTAATCTTTTTAAACCTTGTTACAACAAATAATATATTCACTGCCAGTACTACCCCAAACTTCTAGAGAAACGTTTGATGTTCAAACGGCGTAGCGGCAWGATGGCAGTTCTTGTGTGCTCAAATCTTATATTTCCTCTTTCTCCGTAATACTAGAGAGATTTTCAAAAAACTATCTAAATAATACGACCGCCTTATCGTAAAACATCTTTTACCAAATTTAAACCAGAATTGTTTTCAAATTATAAGGTTATAAGTCTCATTTTGTGATATAGGGTAAGTTTATAGCGCGGCAAATTCAAACTTCTCAAAATAAAGTGTGTTGAAGATCGCTTTGCACTCCATACCTGAATCTTGAAATCGTTTAGATTTTGGAAACATCTTTATGCGGGTATTCTGAGCTATTTYACTCCAATAATGGCTAAAATGCTCGATGAAAACGAAAGGTTTTTAGAAAAAGTTGAAAGAYCTTCGCGCCGAATATCTGAACCTCTGCACAGCAGAGTACTAGTATTGCGTCCGTTGACAAACACTCAAAGGGCTTTTTAAAAACTGACCAATCAAATTAAAATACCCACGTGCCACTCGACCTCGATATGACGTGTGCGTTATTCCAATCTTAAAATAATTGAAAACATCTTACTTTCAATATAAAATAAAAAGAGTTCTAGTTTATAACTTATATGCTTGATGAATTATGTGAACACGTTTTTGGACTCCCGCTATAATTTTAAACTTTTGTTTACAATTTTAAAATGACCACTTACAGTCTCAACTTTTGTCACGTGGTTCAACAGACCAATCAAAAGCTGCAGTTGTCGTTGAGTCTGATTGGTTGATTTATGCAATCTTTTTAATTCAAGATGGCGTCTAATTTGTGTTTACATCGCTTTTTCCAAGTTTCGCGAATTTTTCTTTAGATCTTTGATTTCTAATTCAACTCAAATAAAAAGTAAAACCAATTACTTAGTCTATGGTAAATATATAACAAGATTCTAGCTCTTATATCTTTTTAAAATGGATTCTTCAACGCAGAATGATGATAGTTACGTGAACTTCTTACAAGATCAAGGTWAGCAAGACTGAAAAATTCGAAAATTCTTTAAAATGCTATCTTTATTACAATGGTTTTGCACCTTGTTTCTTTTATCCATATCTCATTTCACAATCATTTTTTTKAGAAAGCTCAAGGCTCTCTTGAAGCGATACTTAAAAAAGTAAAARGAACCTGCAACGCTTTTATCTTAGCATTTCGTACGTTATAGGTCCACCATGAATTGGTCGCAGTGTTAAATAGTAATAGCTCTGTTTTGGTCAGGAAAAAAACTAGCTTGGTATTAAATATTTAAGTAATATATTGATAACATATTGACTTTGTTTTATGAGAATTTGTTGGCAATATTTGTTTGTTGATTAGCAAATAATTCTAATATAAAGTGTACATTGTTATCAACAAAATACGTGAACTGAGTCGAAGTTGATTACCATGATATAAACTTAACGATCCTTGGTAAATGAAATATAATGAAAAAKATATATATTCAATTTAAACAGTTAGAAGACTTAATGCAGTATTAAAGGAATACCAGAAGAAGTATCTTCCTGTCAAGGAGCCTGACTTAAAGGTCTGTCCTTTATAATTATGAGGCTTTACAAAAACTTTGTTTTCTGATTCCATCTTCTTTTGCATACATTATTGTTTGCCTACCTTTAGTCTTTTTTTTTTTTTGTTCTGTTATTCTAATTTATTGTTGCTGATATGTAGGGTAATGAACCTCTTCCACCTTGGCTAACAAACCAGAGGTATTAAATGTAGAATAATTATCAAACTATTGTTAGTTGTTTGGGGAAAGGTAACAGAATGGCGCAGGCGTTACATATGATGCATGATTGGGTTAGCAAAATGTAGAGCATGATTTGTGTATTCCTGGTTTACCATTTACAATATATATACTCACCAACCCCCCCCCCCCCCCCCACTGCTGCCCTGCTGTGCCACCTTGCACAAAGGGATATAGGTGTATATGATGTTCAGCATTGTTATTCCCAGTTCCCAACTTTCCCTTTTCCATTGAACAGTTTCTGTTTAGTACAATCCCCCCTCACCCCCAACTCCCTTGGGTACACCACACACACATGCCCCTCAGTAGAGTATTACAGTATCATTTGTGTGTTAATTAAAGACTTATTGCATAGGCCTTTTCTGAGATAGCAAGCARGGTGCATTGTGGTCTACCTTGAGTAAAAACATCTTTTGTTCAACATTGTTTGCCTCACATGGCATTGATTGTACTAAATCTAGACCACAATGCATCCTGGTTAACAGTCTCAAAAAAGGCCTTTCAGTTTAGAAACAACCCCCCTCCCCCCCAACTCCCTTAAGTACACCACACACACATTTCCCTCAGTAGAGTATTACAGTATCACTGGTGTGTCTTATTAGACTTATTGCATACACCTTTTCTGAGATAGCAAACATGGTGCATTATGATCTAGCTTGAGTAAAAACATCTTTTGTTCATCATTGTTTGCAAGTGTAATATGGTGTTGATTGTACCAGATCTGGACCACAATGCAATGCATATTGATAAAAGATCTCTGTTTTAATATTG